GGAAACCCTTTACAACATCACTATGTGTCAGAACCGACTTGATGACACTTAACAACAATATCATACAACAACCAATAACTGGCTCACCCTTTTAACAGTGTTATTAGAACACAGAATTGCAAAACATAGAAATATCTCTCCCCATGTCAATAGAAAAACATCTGCTACTTAGACTGATAAGGAAGGGAAGTGAAAATGTTGCAGCTAGTCATTTAATGTGGAAAAGTATAGATTGAGAAATAAAGGTCAGCAAAACAAGAGAACTATGACAAAAAACCATATACTTGAGTTCTTAGGTACAAATCATGAAACTAACTCTGTTTAAGTAAAATTAAAGTGAGAAAGCAATCCCACCGTGTACAGAGTCAGTGGGAAGCCGAGAGGCTTGGAAAATGGACAAAAAGAACAGAGAACAAATAGCGCAGCATCCTACCTGAGGTGCTGTTGCTATTCCATTAGCTAGAATTTGTTTGCTACACATGGTTAGAATGAAACCTAAACCTGTTCATCTCAAATTCTTTGAGCAACCAATTTTCTATGTCTGAACTCTCACAGATGGATCGTTTTATGAAATCTGATAAAAATGAATTACCAGAAAAAGGAAATGCAGGGGTGACATAAAATATAAGCCCATATATTTATGATTGAGTTTGACAACCTTAGCATTGCATACAATAAAGAAACACAATAGTGAAAAAGAAAAGAATTTCAAAAGTCTGTACATATTGTTCTTTAAGTATATACATATAAGCAACTGGTAAAGAATCACTATTATGTTTGTAATGTTTTAGTTATTTGGCAATCATAGACAACCAAAAATTAGAAGTGATATTGTGATTCCCCATATTAATTGTCTGTGTGCACTCTGAAAACAATGTATTTATCTAATTTAGATGGGACTGCAGCAAAAGTTAGCTGCAGGGATAAAATATCTTTGAATTTTATTTTACTAACATCTTAGTAGATAAGCTACTCTGCTGTTATTTTGTTCTTAGCAATGGGGAAATTTTTAAACAATTTGAGCAAGCTTGGAATATTAATTTTTAACATATCTATAATGAAGCAAAGGAGCTCTGGTAGCATAGTGGTTATGAATCGGGCTGCGAACCACAAGGTCAGCAGTTCGAAACTATCAGCTGCTCTGTGGGAGAAAGATGAGGCTTTCTGCTCCTGTAAAGATTTACAGCCTCGGAAACTCTGTTCAGGGTCGCTCTGGGTCGGAACCAACTTGACGGCACTTAGCAACAACAACAATAATGAAGCAAGCAGTTCTGTATTTTAAAAATTCATCTATTCATCAGGATCCAGTTCTAACAATTTATCCAGTAAAGTTATATTTACATATAAACTATCTTTTGATCAAGGA